TCCTGCTGACCTGGGATCTCAGACTGACTTAATATTTAGTTTTTGTTATTTTTTTATTAAAGTCCCCACTTTCACTTAAATTAATACCTAGTACATCATTGCCAGAGGAGTTCTCCGTGCTTAAATATGGCAATGAAAATGCCCAGTTGTTTTCCTAATGCAGTGCTTTGAGTCTGTGACTCACTTTGCATGTTTAACAGACTGTGCACACTTTTAGACACATTCAGCTCTCTATTTAACTTATTATAGATCAGTTTAATGTATCAGTTTAACTATGTTTTGCTAAATGAAGAATGAAAAAAAAATCACCCTGTATGCTTGAAAGGTTATTTTTTTCTTTATTTTTTAACCAAGCATATGCAAAGATCAATGTAATAGACTTCTATAAACTGTGTAAATTATTATTACAAAATGAAAATGCTTCAGTTAGAGCTTTTTCTATTACTCATTCTCCATTGAACCTTATAGTTCAATAACTAGAGCTTGTGAACACAGCTTCTTGGTTTCATCATTACAGCTATCTATGGGGTTTGTAACTTAAATAAGAAGTGGAAATTGATACTGTTAACTTGTCTACAAGCTTATTTTTCTACATTATTGTTCTATATAACAATTTTCTCTGTATATGTGGTAGTGTTAAGTATTATATGATTTAAAAAAAAAATTTAAAAGGATATGTGTTCTCATCCTGAACTAATTCACTATAATTTGTTACTGTCTCCAGCATCTTTCATATTCTGTCCCATAAACTTCATATTTAACTCTGCTAAGTATCATATACTTACTGGATATATAAAACATTGTTCCAAGGACTGACTTTTTTATCATTATATTTGTGAGTGCAAATGTGCAAACAAGTGACATTTCATTTTAAGTAAAAAATAGAAGCATTTCCCATAGCTTGTATTCATTTGTATAATACAAAACAAAACTTTAGTTTTGAGAAGATTTGGATCTGTAAGTACTAGATAATATTTTTACATAAAACTGCAGAAGAAATAACAAATTGCACTACAAAATGAAAAAATGAAGTGAGTTTGTTTTGAAAAAATTGAAATGTCTTAATTTTAAAAAAATGCTTTATGCTTTTTTCTCAGGCACAAATAATGTCCAAGCTTCACTCCTTGACAAAGCAAATACTTGAATAGACTTCTTGCTCAGACCTACTGTGCTCAAATGACAAATATAAACTCGTCTGAGAAAAATATTCAGTGTGATTTAACATACAATTTTTTTTCTTTTCTCTTTCCTCAGATCAACTGGTAGAGAATATGCTCTGAAAATAATCAAAAAAAGTAAATGTAGTGGAAAAGTAAGTACAAAAAAATCATGAGAGACCAAAAGATTTTTTTTTTCAAGAAACATTTTGTAAGAGATCAGTTTGGGAAGCTGTTGATATTTGTCTTCTTCCTGGAAAGTGTTAGAATCTTTTTGGTTGAAGCCTTTGCCTGCCCTCTGGAGACTCTTGGAGTATCAATATAAAAGGCTGCAATGTGCCTTTCTAGATGCGTGTCTTGATTCTCCTGTTTGTTTGTTGTGTGTGAGTATACTTACTCCCCTTGCTCTTTACCCCTGTAATTGTATTGTCTAACTTTCATAATCCCAGATGTTATAGAAAACAGAAAAATAATACTAATAACAACACTGGTCACTATGTCTAAACAGTATGCAAGGTTAATCAAATTGATGTCAGTTTCGTGCTAGGTGAATTTCTGTCAGCTTTTGAAATCTGCAACAAAAGATTCTCTGAGAAGATGCTATCATATTTTTAAATGGAAAGATTCTGCATTGGAGAAAAGATTTTAGTAGCTTCCATAGTTAGCTTTTTTCTGCATCAGAATCATGTCTTTTTCTCCAATTCTTTTTCTGTCTTCTACTCTTTGTTCTTCTTTCGGTTATCACACTGGTGTTTCTAGATGTGTTCCTTCCATATTGCTGGAGGCAATGTCTGTTACCTTTTTAAAAACCCTGAAGAATCCATGCAGATCCCAGTTCTCTCTGCATTTTCTACTGTGCAATGGAGATGAATTTTTTTCCCCACCAACTCGTAGTCGTTAAAGATTTCTTTTGCATGGCAGGAACACATGATCCAGAATGAGGTATCTATTTTAAGACGAGTCAAGCATCCCAATATTGTACTTCTGATTGAGGAGATGGACATGCCAACTGAGTTGTACCTTGTCATGGAACTTGTAAAGGTGAGCTGCAAATGTACCCAGTTGGAATAGCTGTAAATATCAGTCTTCAAAATTCAATATTCTTTGATAAAATAGTGTTTAGTTAAATTTTATTAGTTTGTGTTAAATTTAAACAATATTACCTGTTTTCTCTGCTGATTTATATTAAAACATTGTCAGGTTTGCATCCTTGATAATAACCTAAATTTAAACTGGAGGAAGGGGGAAATGAAAGAGAAAAAACTGCTATTTAAAGCATGGTTCTATTCTGAAAAGTAAATTTGCAAATGCAGCATTTTATATTTGTGTCCCTATTTATTTCTTCATTGTAACTTCCAGATCTCATGCATTTATTTCACTCACTGGTGGAATTTTACATATTCAAACTGGATTATGAAACTTGGACCAGGCCATCTCTTGCCCTCATACTGTCAACAGTGAAGTGCAAGAAGTATGAATTTAGCTCTCGGTTCTGGTACTAATACACAAATATGTCACTGTGCATAAAAGATGGTAAAAATATATTTGAGTAAATTGTCCAAATTAGGAGAAAAAAACACTGAGGACATTTTGTCCTTCATACTTACTTTATCAGAATACACCTGTTTGTCGTGTTCAAGAAACGTGTAGATGTGGTGCTCAGGGACATGGTTTAGTGGGTTAGGTAGTGTTGGGTTGATGGTTGGACTTGATGATCCTTGAGGTCTTTTCCAACCTTAATGATTCTATAATTCTATGATTCACTAGTGGAATTAGTGATTCTCCTTCCTTCCACAGCTATTCTGCAGGAAGGAGTTCCTTCCAGCAGCCATCTCCATTTCTGTGTCTTGATCAAGGCAGCTTTTCATGCCTACACCTGGGAAACTGACAGTCTTGAGTGTTTAAGGACAAAGATTACAATAAAGCTGTGCAGCAGCAGTATTTGTATGCAGGCCTGTTGTATGTGCCTGCTCAACACTTGTGGGCAACTCAGGCACTCTGAACCCTGGAACCCAGCTCACTTCCACTTGTCTAAAATTAAAAATGTGGTCGCCTTCAGCAGACATCCTATTTATTTGTGGTTAGAAGCAGGCACTACCAGAGGTCGTGAGAGAAAGTAGTTTTGGCCAGCGGGATTGTTACCTGGTTTACACTGGTTGTAGATGGAGATTAGGGGATACTCCTAATGTAGGCACGTCCCTGAGATGTTAGATAAGATGATTCCAGGCCCAAGTGTTTCTTAAAGAACATCTCAAGCTTTGGGCTGGAATAGGAGAGCAAGGAGGATGAAAAGTTTTCCATTTAGTCCATTCACCCCTGTGCTCTGGCGGCATAGTGGCACAAGCTGTGTTCCCTGTGCAAAGCTGCACATCCATGCTCTCTGCAAAGCCGCTGTGCTGTGCAGGCAACGGATGCTGTCAAGTGGGGCCCATGGATGGACACAGATCTTCCCTGTCCTGGTGGCAGGCTGGGACAGCGTTGTTAACCATGCGAAGCTCAAACTGTGCTCCACAGCTCAGGAGATGGCAACATTGTCTTCTTAGGTCTGAGTTTCCCCAATGCCTTCCTTGGCTTGAGTGGTACTATGGAGCTTATGGTCCAGCTAACCCTGCTGTCCACCACCTCTGAGCTGTGAGGAAGACGCTGGGACATGCTGGTGTCAAGGAGCTGACAGGGTACCTGGAGTCCCTGTTAAGTCTCTAATGGAGAGGTTGCAGCCTAAGAAAAAAAAACCTAAATGCTGGCACTCTTCCAAGCCACAAATCCCTCTGTGTAGCCAACCCCATAAGAATTTTACCACTTCTTCATAGTCACAGCCCACACAGTCTCGCACTCGGGAGTGCAGTGTGAAATAGCACAGCTTCAGATCAGATGCCATTAGCCATCTAACACTATTTTAGTCATAATTACTGCTCTTTTATATGATAAGTGAGCTCACTCTGAGATCCGTGCTACTGTGGATTTTTCCCAGTGTCCGTGGGAGCTTGTTCAAAGGTATCTCAATACCCTTGCACACTGTTGTAATCTAATGTAGCCCCAGCTTCCGTCTGCATTGACAAATCCTTCATCTTGGCCCCATGAGGTATGCTAAGAAGTAAAAGCTGTGCCTTGTCTAACATGCCAAGACATAAGTATATAGCTGGTTTTATGGGTGCAACCTGCTGTGCTATTCATGCTTGAAAAATGTTCAAACCATAGTCTCTGGTGTTTTTCTAATCAAAGTCCTACTCAGATAAGTAAGAGAGGAGGGGACTGAAAACTCTTAGAAAATAACTAGCCTAAAAGATGTATATTAAGAAAGCCATCCATTATATTAACTTTCTGGAAAAATCTGTTTTTTTGCCCTCTTTCTCCTTTACTCTTCAGGGTTGCTGCACATACAAAGATATTTATGCTTTTAATTATGCTATAGAAGGGCCTTATAGACATCTCTCTAGTTCAGATATCCTAGAGACGACTGTTTTGATGTTCTTGACTTTTGTATGGAATAATAGAAGAAATTTAGAAGAAATATCCTAATCCTGGGAAGTTAACTTTGTTTCTTTGAAGCTACCATATATTCCTTAATATTAATTATTAA